ATTCACAGATTCACTGTGGAGAACGAACGTAACTTGTGTCACAAGTGCTCTGCAACCGACGCAGCACCACAGAGAAGCCAGTGGGAAGTGGGGATGGAGGCAGCCCGGCCCCCGCCGCCCCGACCTCCCGCCGTCCCTTCTCCAAGCCTTGCTTCATCTCCCCATTTCTGAGAAACCGCCAGCTCCGCGGCTTCCCTCCTGGAGCCCTAGGATCACCCCATCCTTCAGCCTGAACCCCAGGCTCTGAGGGAGGGCTGCGACTCTGCCCTTCGTGGAGGCCGAGAAAAATCAAGGCCGTCCCACCTCGAGTTTAGCATTAGCTCAAGTCCAGCCATCGTAGGCCCCTGGGAATAAGAGCTGAACTTTACGGGAAAAACTGCAGAATGTCCTCGATGTCAATCCCGTATCAGAAAGACAACAGAGCCCACGCCCCTGGAAGAAGCTCCCATATTAGAATGAGAACAGAGCTCAATGCCCTTGAAAGCCCCACATCAGAATGTTAACAGAATTTGAGAAATTCCTCCCCCCCCTTCTGAAAATCCCCTAGACCACCCTATAAAAAACCCAGCTGTAACCCACCTCGGTGTCCAAGTCCCTGCCCCCCTGTGTCGGGTGCACTTGGACCCAAGCTCGAGCTTGCAAGTAAACCCTCGTGGGCTTGCATCGGTGTCGGCTCCTCCCCGGTTTCTCGGATTCGCAACCTTGGGCACAACACCTCTGAGCATCGGACATCAAGAGGCCCTGCCCTGGGGCTCAACAGCTTTTAAGTCCCGCCTGTGTGTGTGTTGAGTACCAACCTTGCCCCGTGTTAGCTCTAAGACCTTAGAAATTTGCTTAAGCCTTGTGTTTACTTCTGCTGCGTTAAAAAAAAAAAAAAAAAAAAAAAAGGAGGGGGCATCAATGTAGCAAATTCATAGAATTACTTCAGGGATTAAATGAGATGATACGTATCAAGAATCTAGCGCAGCGGCATCTGGCGTTCAGAAAAATTGCAGTAAATATTAGCTATTGTTAGCGATAGAGCAAATAGGAGGCTGTACAAATTCTAAAGCAAATTAACTGGGTTGATGTAATATTCAAACATAAATCAGAAACGCGCTCGTGCAGCCCTTTATGATGCGCTGGCCAGGTGCACTGCTGAATGCTGCAAGCCACCGTGTTCTCTATTTGCGTGCTTATTTGTTTAATGGCTGCTCCATGAAGAAAAGGCTTCTGATTTATTTTATTTTGTTTAAATATACATATATGCTTTATTTAAAGTAGGTTTATACTGGGGCACCGGGAGCTGGGTTCAAGAGTCTGATGCTCAACTGACTGAGCCACCCAGGCACCCCCAGCCTCCAACTCCTGATCTCAGCTCAGGTTCTAATCTCAGGGTCGTGAGTTCAGGCCCTGCATTGGGCTCCAAGCTGGGCATGGAGCCTACGTTAAAAAAAAATAAAATAAAATAAAATAAAATAAAATAAAATAAAATAAAATAAAATAAAATAAAATAAAATAAAATAAAATAAAATAAAATAAAATAAAATAATAAAATAAAATAAAATAAAATAAAATAAAATAAAATAAAATAATAAAAAAGTAGGTTTATGAAGATCTGGTTTACACGTACCAAGATTTCACCCGTTTTAGGTAGACAGTTCCATGAGTCATGTGATCACAACCACAGTCAAAATGTAAAATATTCCTATTTCCCCAGAAAGTTTCCTTGTGCTACTTTGGAATGGATCCTTTAAGCTCCCCCCCCACCCCACCCGCAGACAAGGGCAGCCGCTGGTCTGATTTCTGTCCTGACAGTAAGAGTTTCATCCATATTGTGCTGTTTATCAGTAGTTTGGCTTGTTTACTGGGAACAGGATTCCACGGTTCGGCTCTATCACCACTTGTTTATCTATTCATCAGTTCATGGTTGTTTGGGTTGTTTCCAGGTTCGGACCATCACGAATAAAGTTGCCATAAACATCTGCATGTGGGTTCTTTTTGTGGACATGCCTTTTCCTTTCTCTTGGATAAACACCCAGGAGTGGAATCGTTTGGTGAGTGTGTATTTGAGTTCATAAGTAACTGTCATTTTCCAAGGTGATTGCACTATTTTGCACTCCCAACATGATTAGGAGAGCTCCATTTGCTCTGTAGCCTCCCCAGCACTTAGGTGCTTTTGCCAAATATTTAAATTTTAGCCATTTTAGTGAATGTTTAGTGGTTTTAATGCACATTTCCCTAATAAGTAAAGGAGAGTCCTTTCATGTGTTTATTAAACACATGGATTTGAGTTATTTGTATTTCTATTGGTATGTTTTGAAAAGATTCCTATATTCTTGATAAAAGCCCTTTATCAGATATGAATTTTATAAATATTTCTCCCCAATCCATGGCTAGTCTTCTTAATTTTCTTAAGAAGAGCTTTGAGGCACCCGGGTGGTTCAGTGGTTGAGCGTCTGCCTCTGGCTCGGGGCGTGACCCCCGGGGTCCTGGGATCGAATCCCGCGTCGGGCTCCCTGCAGGGAGCCTGCTTCTCCCTCTGCCTGTGTCTCTCATGAATAAATAAATAAAATCTTAAAAAAAAAAAGGAAAAAAAACAAGAGCTTTGGAAGAGCAGAAGTTTTTACCCGTGAAGTTCAATTTATAAATGTTTTTGTATGTGGTTTGTGCTTTCGATGTTGTGTCTAAGAAATCTTTGCCTAACCTACGGTCACAAAGGTTCCCTCCTATGTGTTTATCTAGAAGTATTGTAGTTATTACATTGAATCTATGATATATTTTTATTTAATCTGTACACGTGGCATGAAGTATGGCTCGCAGGTCATTATTTTGTTCCAGCAAAATTCGCTGAAACTATTATTCCATCTCCATTTAATTACCTTGCCATTTTTGTGAAAATCAATTGGCCGTATACGCGAGGGGCTATTTCTCATTCTTTATTCCGTGGATGTGGATGTTTCACCTGAAGCACACTGTGGTGACTACGGTACCTTTCCAGTAAGTCTCGAAATCGGTGAACTCAAAACCGAGTTCTCCAGTTTTGTTCTTTTCCAAGATCGCTTTGGCTATCCTCAGTCCTGTGCTCTTTCTTCCTTTTCTTTGATTGGGATTCTGTTCAATGTGTAGACCAGTTTGGGTAGAACTGATATCTTAATAATGCCTTCTGGTCCATTAATCTATCTCACCTCTCCATTTAGTGAAGTCTTCTTTGAACTCCTGATGTTTTATAGTTTTCAACATTTTTTTATTAGCGCCAGCCCTAAGTATCGCATGAATTTTAATACTACTGTCAATGACAGCTTTTAAATTTCAATTGCCAACGTCTCCCTGCTGGTATATTATAAACACGGTGGAGGACTCTAAGTGCCTTTGCATCCCGTGACCTTGCTAAGCTCACGTATTAGTCCTAGTAGCTTTCTCATAGAATCTCTGAGGCTTCCTAGTTAAACTATCTCATCATCTGCAAATAAAAAAAAAATGTTTTTTCCTGCCAGGGTACGTCGTACCTTTTATTTCTTGTACTTGCTTGACTGCATTCGCCAGAATCCTCGGTACGGCTTTGAATAGGAGCGGTCAGAGAAGACACTTTGCATTGTTTTCAGTCGTGGTGAGATGACGTTTGTTTTGCTCGATACTACACACCCAGCACCTTGCACCACGCCTGGCACACAGTAGGCCCTCAAAAGAGGTTGCTGAATGAATGAAAACAAAGTTAGCTTATCTACATAGAGATTAAAATGGCATTGGTTTCATTACTATCTTGTCCAACTACTCAATCTATTGAGTCACAAGTAAAATTATGTAACGTGTTGCAGGTTATCATTTTGAAATTAGGAACCTTTTCGAGTATAAAAATGCTCTGGTGGGAATATAGGAATTTAGGGACAAGCTATCTAGTTGATGTGACACCGGACCGCATATTTGTCTGATGAATTAAAACTTTAATTAATCAAATTAATAGACTCAATTAAAATGCAGTAACAGTAGAACTATTGTTTGTCTGCCTCTTCTCTGGGATAGTCAAGTCTGAGAAGTGACAAAACTTGATTTCTACATATTATCAAAATGCTAAGGGAGTCCAGTTAGTACTAACTGCATAATGGAAAGGATTAATATCCTTCCCAACTTGGAGATTAGACATAAAACACTTTTAGAAAACTCAATTCAAAACATATCACTTGGTGTCTGTTACTGTCCTGGGGGTGGAGGTGAGAAATAGGAAGTGAAAGCAGATTGTAGTATTTTAAATAGTTCCTAACCTTAGGAAATTACATATGTTGTGGTAGTTATCAGACATATATTAGAAATTGAGACTAAAGCAGCTTTACATCTGATTGCCAAAATAAACAGAAGAAAAAAATATCAAAGGGAGCTAGAATTAGAATCTTTGTGAAACACATGCTATGTTAAAAGGGCTTTTTTTTAAAAAAAAAAATAGACTTTAGACCTGGATAGCTTAGCAAGAATAAAAATTTAAGCTTTATTACATATTTTTAATTATATGCATTTTACGTTATTCTGGTCATTTTCTAAAAACAAGCAAAAGCAGGGACATCTGGCTGGCTCAGTCAGTACAGCCTGTGACTCTTGATCTTGGGGTTGTGAGTACGAGCCCCAAGTCGGGCAAAGAGATTACTTAAAAACAAGTGGGCAGAGTTTGGAGAAACAGAGGCAAAGAGGTCATGAAAAGTAGCTGTATTTTAATATTGGTTCCATCTGCATTCCATTCCAGACCTAAGGTTTGCAGAGCCAGGATGAATTACCTATACACCTATCCCTCGTGTGTCGCCATCACGAGCCAAATACGAGCCAGCAAATCATCACGTGCTCACCTATATAAAGTACGTCGCTTCCAGACTCTGAATCCTGAAAGGTGCTAGTGGTGGTGGTATTTTTGAACGGCACCAGCAGAACCCACCCCAAAGCTTACTCTTGTTTTTTTTAGTCACTTTTAAAACACAAAATAAGTCAATAGTTACCAATACACAATGTCATCAGGTTGCATAATTGGCCTGGCAAGAGGCTCCCCGAATGTCTTATTCCCTAGCAGTTATACAAAAACAAACAAACAAAAAATTTTAGCAAAACAAAATTTATAAAACGCATCATATATGGATAAGACCTGTATCTGTGCTCTGTCCAAAGCAGTCAAAAATCCTTTCCTCAGAATCAAAGAGGACAAAACAAGAAAAAACATGCATGACGTGTATGTCTGCTGCCCATGATTGTTTTCTTCTGACTTAATTTCACGTTTTCGACACCTAAAACATGAATGTTTCCAAAGCCAAAATTAGATTGCAAAATACATTCAGAGAATTCCTTCTTCCATCCCCATCTGACCCTGTGCTCTTTCTTTCACCGCAGATAAGCACTTGAAACATTTGTGGACTATACTTCCAGTGTGACTTATTCACAAATACAAGCAAATACATGCATGTATGCACAGCCATATTCATAGTTCTCTCCCATTTTACCCCCTCCCCCCCCCAATGCATACCATTTCAGTTTGGCACTTTGCTTTTTTTCACTTACCAAAATATCCTGCAGACCACTCATTAACAGCATGCTAGAAATAGTCCCCATTCCTTTGTGCAGTTCAACATTTGGAGGTATCCGTGTGGTCCCTTTAAAAATATTAAAGAAGTCATGAAGAGTGAGACCCGTTAACTCCTGGCACAATATAAATAGCTAATTCTAGTTTATGTATAGCAAAAGTTCCATTTCTGGACCGTTTACCCACACCACTCACCTCCTACCTCCTATTGGTGGGACATGCTGAGGGTACAAACCCTGGCTTTGATCGCTGGCCCAGGCGAACTGTAACAAGGCTTCGGGCCAGAAGGACACACGGATGGCAAGAGTCAGGCTTGCAGCTGGGGGGGAGGGGAGGAGAAAACCTTCCTTCCTGCTCTCTGGAAGCTTGGATCGGAGCAGGTATCATGACTTCATCAAACGGAACAATACTCATATGAACGCAATTAAGCAGCCTAGAAATCAGAGGCTTCCCCACGCCGCACCCCCAATGGGCCGTGCAGTAAAATTGTACGAGGCTCCAATGTAGAACCGTAAGGTTGACCTTATAACTAGTCTACTTTGGGGGGCTCCCTACTCATTTCGAAACTAGACACCAATATCCAGAACTAATCCTTCCCCTAGAATGATCTGTTAGGCTGCTTGCTTACATGAACTCCATGAAGGGCCATAAATATGTGTGACCCCTGTAGATAGCTCTACAGAGTCAGTCTTACACAAATCTTTATGACTTCTCCTTCCAGCTCCTGTCCGTGGCTACAGTCCCAATCTGCAGCCAGTGGGCACCTCAAGTTAAGGAAATCTGAGTTATAGAATCGGATGATTTTAGACACGACCTTTTATTCTGTTCTTTGCAACAGATATAGGGGTAACTTGTCCCTAGCCATTTAAGATCAATTCCTGAAAAAGAAAAGAAAAAGACACACATGTAACTTTTAGTTCTCTTTTTTAATTAGCTTCTTCAAAAATTGGAGTTAATAATTTTAAGCGTTAAAACAATGGTATATGGCTGGTCATCTGTGAAATTGTTTCTGTGCAAAGTTAACTTTTTCCAAAGCTCTAAAATCAATGCCCACTTGCACTTCTGATGACATTTTGTAAGTATTTTTAAAAACTTTTTCTTCATATAAACTGCTCTATGCCCATCGTGTTAAATATTGAAAAGTATAAAAGGAAACTAATAATACTATGCAGCTGTAGCTACACACTGTAAATAGCCGGATATATTTTCTTCTGGCATTTTTCCTATATGTGTATATTTTCTCCTTACACTTTCCAGTGTAGAGCCTGTAAACCTTGCAACGTCCTTTGGTCAAAAAAAAAAACTGTAAATTGATGAGAAAGCTATACCCCCTGAAAGAGAACACTCTGAATCCAATGTAGATGACTCCACGATCTCTTCTTGGGTTCCGTGACACTTAGAAAACTTCATTATCATCCCTTGTTTTTCTGGAGTTATCTTTTCAAACAACTACTAAGTGAAGAGAGGAAGTTAAAGAATGGCCAAAACCTCCCTTTGAAATCAATTCTCTGATTGAGTCCTTGACAGAAGAAATAATCAAATGTCCCCTCTTTCCACCTTGCCACAGGGCGACTGAAACTCAGAGGCCTCTCAAATCTAAAAAGTGCTCTTTGCCATAATCAAAGATGACACTGTTAGATCACTCATTTATAAAGTACACTTTTGGGGCAGCCCGGGTGGCTCAGTGGTTTAGTGCCTGCCCTCAGCCCAGGGCGTGACCCCGGGGTCCCGGGATCGAGTCCCACGTTGGGCTCCCTGCATGGAGCCTGCTTCTCCCTCGGCCTGTGTCTCTGCCTCTCTCTGTGTCTCTCATGAATAAATAAATAAAATCTTAAAAAACGAACAAAAGTACACTTGTAGAATACTCGCAAAGGAAGACGGCCCTTCATGGATTCACCGGGTCTTTCCCACCTGCGCGGGAAGGCCTGTGTCTGCAAGGCCCGCAGCGGTGCCAGCAACAGCGTCGCAGGCAGGTCCTCATCAAGAGAGCAGCCAAAGCAAACCCGGCTTGATGAGCATTGATCGGAGACCTCATCAACCCCACATTCCAGACAAAGGTCAGTGCAATTAGATTGCTTTGAGTAAAACAAGCCCATGGAAACCTAGGGTAACAGTGGATAAACCATAAGGTGATATTTGCTTTAGAAAAGAACTCCTGCCCCGAGGATGCCTTTAAATAAATAACAAGCTCTCTTAGTATATGGCGCAGAGGATTCGGCTCCATTAAAACACACCTTTCAGGAACATGCTACGGAGGAGAGTCCTGTACACGGGCACTTCCTGTTTTGCTGCGGAGTCTTTTAAATGATATTACTGGACACCCCAACACAATTAATAATTACCAGATTTTCATTTTAATTATAGGGGACGTCATTGGAGGTTACAGCAGAGCCACAGGGTAAATTGTCCTCCTCTTTCTCAAGGCCTTGCGTGGACTGTGTGGAATTTTAAAAGGGCTCTCGGAGGGCACAAAGTATGGGAAGCGTTCAGGGCTTGGAAATACCCGTGGAACGCCCGAGGCCTCCAGCCCGGGAACCCAGCTCATTCACAAGGCTGAGTGTGAGGCAGCAGGCTCCTTCTCGGGTGCAAAATCACTTTATTGCTTTTGACAAGGAATTGCTTTAATTCATCGCGCAAATGAAGCTCTGCAAGCCTCGTGTCCTGTAGGGGTGGACGCGCTCCCCCAAGGTTCCCGGTCTCAAGAGGCCGCCGCGGGCTCCAGGCCCGAGCCCACCCGCAGGGGCGCTCCTGGGCCGCAGGTGCCGGCCCCGCCCCGCCCCGCCCCGCCCCGCCCCGCCCCCGCGGGCTCCTCCTTCCTCCCTCCTGCGTCTGCGAGTGGACCGCAACCCCGCGACCCCCCGGCGCCCCGGGAGCACCCCCGTGACCGCCCGGGACTCCTCCCCCCACCGGAGCACCCCCCGCGACCCCCCGGCGCCCTGGGACCGACCCCCGCACCCACGACCCCCGGCGCCCCGGGAGCACCCCCCGTGACCCCGCGACCCCCCGGGAGCCCCCCCCCCGAGCCCCCGCCGCCCATCTGTCCCGCCCCAGGTCCCCGGGGCCCGAAGCAGGCCCGCCCCGCCCGCCCTCCCCCCCCCCCAGGGCCCCGGGGCTCCCGCTCCTCCGCCGCCCGCGCTCACATCCCTGCCCGGCCGCTCTCGGGCTCCGCGGGGACCCCCCACCCCGGGCCCCGCCATCCTGCGGCCCGGCGCCCCCGCCAGGCCCACCCCGCGCGCCCCCGAGCTCGGCGGCCGCCCTGCGGCCTGTGCCTGCGCAGCGCCCCCCGCGGCCACGGAGCGCAGGCGGCGGCGGGGGAGGAGGGCGCCGCCCGGCCCCGCCCCGCCCCGCCGCCCGGCCCCGCCCCGCCCCGCCGCCCGGCCCCGCCCCGCCCCGCCGCCCGGCCGCAAGGCCCCGCCCCTCCACCTCGGCCCCGCCCCCTCCCAGCCCCGGCCGCCCGGCCCCGCTCTTCCAGGCCGCCCGGCCCCGCCCCTCCACGCCGGCCCCGCCCACCCGGGCGCCCGGCCCCGCCCCTCCGCCCGGCCCCGCCCCGCCCCGCCCCCGCCCGGCCGCCGCCGGGTCCGCGCCTCCGCGCCTCGGCGCCCGCCCCTGATTTCCTCCGCACGGCGGCGGCGGCGGCGGCGCCTCGTGCGCGGTATTTATTTATTTCCGGGCCCCGGCGCGCTTATAATGGAGCCGCTGTCCGCGGAGCCCTCCGCCGCCGCCGCCGCCGCCGCCGTCCCTCCTCTTTTTTTTCCCGGCAGATCTTTGTTGTGTGGGAGGCCGGCGGGGATGCGCTCGGGCTCGCGGCGCTGCTGCTAGAGCCGCCGCCCGCGCCGCCGCCGCCCGGACCGGACCGGACCCGACCCGACCCCGCGCCCCCGGCCGCGACCCGGACCGGACCCGGACCCGACCCCGACCCCGACCCGCCACAGCCCGCGCCGCGGCACATGAGCGTGGGGGCGGCCCACGGCGGGGACTATGGTGAAATTCCCGGCGCTCACGCACTACTGGCCCCTCATCCGCTTCCTCGTGCCCCTGGGCATCACCAACATCGCCATCGACTTCGGGGAGCAGGTGAGCCGCGCCCGCCGCGCCCCGTCGCCGGCCCCCGCGCCCGCGCCCGGTCCCTGCTCGCACCCATCGCCCTCCCCGTGCGCCCCATCATTCTCCCATCACCCCCATCACCCTCCCCGCACCCATACCCTCCCCTGCACCCCATCACCCTGCCCGCCGCACCCCATTACCCTCCCATCACCCCATCACCCTCCCCTGCACCCCATCACCCTCCCCTGCACCCCATCACCCTCCCCGCACACATCACCCTCCGCTGCACCCCATCACCCTCCCCTGCACCCCATCACTCTCCCATCACCCCCATCACCCTCCCCTGCACCCCATCACCCTCCGCTGCACCCCATCACCCTCCCCTGCACCCCATCACCCTCCCCTGCACCCCATCACCCTCCCCGCACCCATCACCCCCCTCCCCCCACCCGCACCCACGCCGCGCCTGGGCCTGGGACGCCCGGGCGCCGGATGACGGGCGCGGGGAGCACCTGCCGGGAGCCCCTCCCCCCGGAGCCCCCCCACCCGGGAGCGCGGGGCCGGGCTCGGGCTCGGGCTCGGGCTCGCGCTGCCGCTGCCGCTGCCGCTGCCGCTGCCGGCGCCGACCTCTCCCCTCGCAGCTCCCCCTGGAAAGCGGCCAAAGCCCCGAGGGCCCGGGGCCGCCCCGCGGGAGGGCCTCGGTGCGGGCGGGGGTTACGTAAGGGGCTGTTATGTAAACCGCGGCCCGGAGCACCGGCACGGCGGGCGCCCCAGCTCGCCCGCCCCCGCCCCGCCCCGCCCCGCCCGTCCCCGTCCCCGTCCCCGTCCCCGTCCCCGTCCCCGCGCTGCGGGCTGATGGCGACCGCGGGGACATTCGCGCTACAATGTATCCAAGTGGATTTCCCAGGTACCTCCGATTTTGTTTCTTCTGCCCAGCTTTAGATTAGGGTGCCCCAGATGTGTCCTCACGGGCCAGCCGTTGGCCTCTCTGGTTTGGGGCGCTTCCCTCTCTCTCTCTTTCCCGTCTGGACATTTTTGTTTGTTTCTCGTGTTTTCCCCCATTTCTCTCCATGTGGCGTCATTGCAAATCCGGCGCTGCGGACGCCAGCCGCGGGGCACCGGGTTTCCGCACTTTGCCTGCGGGAGCGGTCCCCGCGGGGCCTCCGGCGGGATGCAGCGGCCAGGCCCGGGGCAGGTCGGGGCCACCTTGGTGGCAGGTGCCAACAGCGCGGCCTCGCCCTTGCTCCGGTAGCCTGCTCCTTTCCTCCAAGGCAAGAGGCGTCTGAGAACATCCGTAGAGAACATGCGCCCCTGTCCGTGCCCTGTCAGAAGGCCGTGTGTGGGACCCCTCCAGGTGAGGGTGTCTGCTGGAATTGGTTCCTCCCGACTCAGAACTTCTGCTGGGCTCCCGAATGCTTAGCCCACGTTGTAAGCTACGGTTTACTTCAAAGTGTCTTGCCAAGAAGGGTTCACGAGATGGTACAGTCCCTAGAGACCTTTGTCTGGTAAGCCAGCAGATTGCCTTTGCTGAAATATTGTTTTTTTCTGTTGCCACTTGGGCCCTGGCAGCAGCTCACCAGGGTCCCCCAAGGGCCTCTCTGCTGTCTCACCTCCTCTCTACCCAGCTTCCCTTCTGTCATAGTTAACCGGAGACTTCAAGTGTTTCCTATAATCCGAGGAAGGGTTTTAGGACCTGAATTCAGGACACTGGCCTGCACATTTTAGATGAGTCACGTGCTGTGTGTTCACCTGCACCTTTTACTATTTAAGGCTTCTTTTTTTGGAGCCACCCTCGAAGGGTTGTCAGAAAGCCAGGGCTGCTGACCGGATCACTTCTCCTTGAACTGTTGTAGTGTCTGTGTGTGTATGCGTGCATGTTAGAGAGAGAGAGGGAGAGGGAGCACACACTCACGAGTAAGAGAGGGACGGAAAGAGAATTATACGGGGTAACTGGTGGAGGTGAGAGTATGCTGTGTTGTGACTAAACGACCTAAAACATACCGTACTGTTACCTCACACAGGCCTTGATTTAATGCCGGGCTGATGCAACAAGGATTTGATTCTAGTGTAAGGGAAAGGATCTCCTGAGGTCACCAGAGGGAGGGTTGACATAAACGGTTATACACATGGTTTATCCCAGGGGGTCTAATAATGCAACCGCATCCTTAAAACATCGCAGACCTAATTGTCACAGCAGACAGGAGCTAAGCACGAGAAGAGTTGTCTCTTTGCGCAGAAGTTTTATCAACAAATGTTGTCTGAGGCCCTCATCACTCACGCGCCAGTGTCTTTATGAGCTTTCGGGCTGCCTGGTGGTAGAGATAGTTTGTCAGAGTTAGGGGTGAAGGGGTGGGGAGAAGAAATTGATAGGTTTCCAAAACCATCTTTTGCCATCTGGTATCAGATGATAATTGTTTTCGTAAAACAAGGTTAGAGGGACAGAACTTAACGTTTTCATAACCTGAAGGGAAAGAATTATGGTAGACGAGTGACCTGGTCCCCCGTGGGAGAGAATGCAAGTGCGTTTTACCCCACCTGCCTTACAGCACAACAGAGAGGAGGAAAGTGAACCTGTTTGCAAAAGTAGGACTACTTTAGACCTCAGAAAATGCACTGCTCTTGACATGGGTTTTTTTTTTAATTTTTTTTTAATTTATTTATGATAGAGAGAGAGAGAGAGAGAGAGGCAGAGACATAGGCAGAGGGAGAAGCAGGCTCCATGCACCGGGAGCCTGATGTGGGATTCGATCCCGGGTCTCCAGGATCGCGCCCTGGACCAAAGGCAGGCGCCAAACCGCTGCGCCACCCAGGGATCCTTGACATGGGTTTTTAATCATGTGTTGGAAGGATGGACGCGTGCAGATCTCTACCATTCTTCTTTCAGAGTGGGCAGGTGTATTACAGCTTGCCTTCCGTGAACAATCCTTCATATTTCAGGAATTTACTAATCTTAAAGTAGAGAGGTAACCAAGGAGGTCAAAGCAGCCCTTGGGTCATACACCCTGGAGATGATCAGGAAATGCAAAATTAAAAAATAACACCGTAAAACATCTCTTTAGCTTTTAAGTCTCTGTCAAGAACAAAAGATAGTAAAAGATGTCTTTTTTTTTTCATGATTATAAACGTCTCAGTTTGTTTCTTTTTTTAAATTTTTTTTGAAGATTTATTTATTTATTCATGAGAAACAGAGAGAGAGAGAGAGAGAGAGAGAGGCAGGGACACAGGCCGAGGGAGAAGCGGGCTCCCTGTGGGGAGCCCGACGAGGGACTCAATCCCAGGACCCCGGGGTCACGCCCTGGGCCAAAGAGAGGCAGACGCTCCACCGCTGAGCCTCCCAGGTGCTCCAGTTTGTTGTTTCTGTACAAAATGTGGACAGAACTTTTAAAATGGAAATCCAGCTATATACAGGATTCCCACTGAAATTTCAAGAAACAGCACACATGTGGTTGTGTAAAGGAATTACATATTCATGGATTATCTCAGCGCTGTCAGTGCATGGGGGAGGGGCGGGGAGGAGCCTGATGGATGGACATTCTGTTGGACATAGATTTCCCTATGACTCTGTGGCTCAGTCAGGGAGGAAACCCAAATATCGTGGAGTGTTCCAACAAGACAGGCCAAACCTATGATCGCATTTTAGATTTTTAATGGTGGCAGTAATTTGCCGGGGGTGAGGGAAGGTTGATTCCTTCCCGGGGAAGAAAAAGCTGTATGGAATAGGATAACCTGCTTTTTAATATTAAACGAAACCACCGTAGGAAACAATGAGAATAGATCCATTATTGCAGAAACTAAAATAATGTTTGTAGAGCCCTGGTAGGTGCATAGGGACACCTTATGATGAAATCTAGAATTATCGTTTTATCTCTATTTCTACAGATTGGAAATCAAAGGTATTAACTGCTTGCATTCACTTGGTGCAGCACGTGGTATCAGCGAGGAGACTGAGAGGTGCGGGCATGTTGGGGGACTCGTCGGGGGTCCCGCAGGTGTCACGGGGCGGAGCCCGGACCCCCCAGAGCTGCTCAGCTCCTGGCTGCTCTGCTCTCTGCCTCCTCCGGCAGGCTCGCCTGCTGAAATCCGCCCGGAAAGTTCTTAGAAATTTAGGAATAAGCTCGTTTTTCTGATTCCCAGTCTGGGCTTAAACTTAATTTTAGGTGTCAAATTTTGGATTTGAGGATGTAAGACCATCATAAAAGGGGCTCTCAGCAAAAGGGGCTCGTGACAAGGAGGTTCACAGAAGAACCAAATTATACAGACTGCTGAGATAGATTTCGAACAATGTATTTCTTTAAAGTGGCTGCGGATGTCCATGTGTCACCGTGGTCAAAGACTGTCGTTTCTGTCTAAAACTAAGCTTGGTGCAAAGTCCCTGAATTCCTTGAAAGCCAAGTTCTCCAAATTATATAGAATAAGTAGGTGAACTTTGTTTCAGGGTAATGACGCTTAAAGTGATAAATACAGCTTCATTATGAAGACTTCAAAGGAGAAGACAAGGTTGAACTTGTTCTCTAAACTTAAGGAGGCATGTGTTCTGTTGGGTAATTCGCTCTCGCACAAAACCCTAACCATGGGTATTTCCCTGATTGCCCTGGTTGGGTCCAATGCGATATTTCAAAGAGTCAAAGGTTTTATGTGGGAGTGAAGAGTTTCCTATAAGGATTGTTACAACTGGTAGAGAAAGTTGGGTCGTAGGATGTGCAGAGTCCTTTCTAACTTGGGGAACCTGGCCTGAGGCTATCACAGAAGTGTTTCAAATCGCTAACATGACAAAATGGGGAAAAGGAGAGGCCCAGGAAAAATAGTTTAATAAGTGTCTTTTTTTTTTTTGGTCTACTAAGTAGAAAAAATATATCCCCTCATTCCAAGCAGTCGCTGGGGGGACACTTGCTTCCCTTCAATCTATTCTGTATTAATGGAATTAATGACATTCAAAATGACATTAATTGTTTTTGAATCATAAAAATAATACATGCCAGCTGTTTAAAGTTTGGTAAAGTGTCTAAAATGGAGGAAAAAAATAAAAATAA